AGGCATTTTTACTCAGACTAGCCTTCATTCTGCAACGATATCTGTAACATCATCAAACATCCAGATCTGCCTATAACATGTCCTTGGAAAGGACCCGATAGGTGGACAAAAACTCCAAATCCAGTTTGAATATCTGACTGACTGTGACAAACCATAATAATGATAATAAACTCGGAACTGCCTATATACTTAGACGTTACTTTAACAGCTGTTCGGTCCCTGATTAGGATTTGAACTGTTAAGTTTTTACCAGTCCCAGACTGAATTGAATAATTGTAATAGTAATAATAATATATCAGGTGAATTGAGGAGAAATAGGTAGAAAAAATATTGTGATTTGCAAATTGAAGTTGAGTGATTATGGAGGAAGAAATCAATGGTTGTACCAATAGTAATAAGTGCCCTTAGAGCAATACCCAAAGGGCTGCCTAGATATATGGAAACATTGAATTTATTAGACCTGAATATCCTGACTTTGTGGTGGGGGGAGATACCACCCTAATCGGAATTGCCTATATACTCAGATGCTGCCTTAACAGCTCTTAGGTCCTTACTTAGGACTTGAACTGTTTTACCAGTCCCAGACTCTGAATGAAAATGAAGATTAACCATAACAACAACAACAACAACAGCAATAATAATATATAAAATACTGAACATTTTTATAGGAAAAATATCAGGGTTTGAAGTACACAGTTAAAATCACTTGTACTTTGCTGCTTCATGCCTCATGAGAAGAAAATGTGTAGTTTCCTGGGTTGTTCCTGGAGTTCAACCACTAATTTATAAAAATTCTGATAAAATGTCATTTTTTCAAAAGACATTAATTTCATTCTTAAAAGACCTTAAATCTTCACATGTGATACTAGTGTTAAGTTTATCCATGTCTTATAAACAAACACATGACATCTTATTTTAAGAACTCCTGTCTCATTTGAAGTAATGATGAATTAATAATGTGTGAGCCTTCGTTAAATGCCTCAAATGGTTAGCAATTTACTGTACTTAACTAAAGTCTGACATTTCACTTGTTAATCCTGTCAAACGAGAACTGAGATTAAGAGGGGAAAATTGCCTTTTTGAAAATGTCACTTTTTACAAAAAAAAATTGTAAAAGTCAATATTTGTAAATATTCTGAGGGATAGTTTTGAGACTTGGAGGTTATGTAACTTTATATAATCCTTTACATAAATTCAGTCTGTATTAAATGTTTAACTTGTTTTGTCGTCTTGACTCCAATGATTGTAGTAGTTGTGTTTTGTTACATGTATATTTTCTGCCACAACAACAGTATATACTAGATCAGGGGTCAGCAGCCTGCGTATATGGAGCCACATGTGGCTCTTTCATCCCTCTGTTGCGGCTCCCTGTCACCGGTCGGCTCCACAATTGATAGGGCTTTCGATTAGGACAGGTAGAGGAAAAAGGATGCTGCGCTAGGAGGAGAGAACCAGACTTCTGGTCAGCTTCAGAATTGAACAGGGGGCTTCCAGTTAGGACCTTTGTGGCTCATTGAGTGTTTAAGATTGCCGGCCCCTGTACTAGACAATCCATGCCCCATTGGGTCATCTTTTCGGAGACATTTACCTAACAGAGAAACAGAATGACCATTGGTAGGGAAAAAAGCACTGGGGCAGGAGGAATTTCTAACTTCCTGCTGGATTCCCCATTAAGTTTGCTTGTGGGAACTGACAGGGAGCATCAACAATCTCTGCCTTTCCTCCCTCCCTTCCTTAATATGCATTGTTCTCCTGCTTAACATCTACATGAAACCTCTGGGTGATGTCATTTACGAGTATGAGGTCAGTGCCATAGGTACGCTGATGACACCCAGTTATATCTTTTGACATCAAGCTGGGCAAGTGAGGATGTCAAGGTTCTGCCCCAGCACTAGGAGGCTTTGTGGGACTAATTGGGGAGAAACCAACTCTAACTCCATCCTGCTAAGACTTAATAGCTGTGGCAGTTAAGACTATCCAGATCCAGGAATTATCTTTATATTTCTGGATGAGTTACTTCTATAATCAGAAGAATGTGCAACTTGGGGATTCTCTTGGACTTGCAGCTCTTGCTTAAAGAATAGGTGGCAGCTATGGCCAAGAAGACCTTTACAGAGTTTCTCCTGGAGCACCAGTTACGGTCTTTCCTGCTTCAGTTGACACTCACTCTAAACAGTTGCTTGTTCTCTTGTCACGTTGTGACTCGATTATTGCAATGTGCTTTACACGAGGTTGTCCTTGAAGATCACTTGGAAGCTTCCACAGTTTCAGAATGCAGCAACATGAGCAGTAATGGGCATGCTTCTGAATGCCCATGTGACTCCTCTACTTTGTGAGTTGCATTGATTGACAGCCTGCTTCTGGGTGTGTTTCAAGGTACTGGATATCACCCATAAACTCCTATCTAGCATAGACCGCACCTGTCTTCCACTGTTTTTGCCTGTCCAGGATGATCTAATTGAATAAATGCATTTTCCTTCCCCTTGATTAAGCAAAATTACACGTCAAGATCCAGGAAGTATGGCTTCTCTGTAGCAGTGCTTGGCCTCTGGAATGAGGCCCCTTTGAAATCCATACAGCTTCCCATTCATGATCATCTGGAAGGCCTTGAAAACATTAGTGTAGGAAGGTTTTACGTTTGTTTGGTTTTGCTGAAAGTCATGTGGCTATAAACGTTTCCTATAAATACTTTGTGTAGGATTTTTTAAAATCTAGACAACTTTATTTGTCTAAAGTGGGAATGTATAACATTAGATAATTTGTTAGAGGAAAGTTTTGTAAGAGTAAGAATATCATCTGATCTCCAGATGACTCTTACTTTAAAAGGTGTATGCATGTCTCGGATCTAAGCAGAATAAAAGTTGATTAACTATAAAGCTAGTTGTTCAATTAGAGAATAATTAAATTAGGCTTGATCTATAGTCGTAATGTAATTGATGGTTCATTTTGCACGATACAATTGNTGTCTGAAATGGTATAGGGTTTCCTGCCTAGGCAGGGGGTTGGACTAGAAGACCTCCAAGGTCCCTTCCAACTCTGCTATTGTATTGTATTGCTATCTAGATAATCATTGATTTAAATTCCAGTATTGAATTTTAGATTACTTGTATAGAATACATGTGCTTGATCTTTCAAGACAATTTTAAAAACTTAAAAACCTTTTATGTTTGACAATTGACTTGCTAATCAAAAGAGATGATTTTACAAGCAGTACTGATCCCCATATTGTACAATATCAATTGATAGCACTTCTGATTCCTGTTATTGTGTATTTTAGCTGTTATTAGTCAGGTTAGTAATCTATGTTCTACATTTATGTTAACTTTTAACTTTTTATTCACTGTTGACTTGAAATAACTGCTGTGATTTGTTTAAATTTAACAGAAATTCATTGTTTCAGAATAATAAATAAAAATAAACAGAAATTATTAAGTCTGTCTTAAATGTCCCTTTGTAGCAGTACTTACCATTATCAGAGGAGACATATTCTGATAGACAATAGTTTAATCTCAAGCTTGAGATGTTCTGCTCCAAGCAAAGCACAGCTGGTCTGAGCAAGTAGTTATCATTAAGAGAGTGGTAGATTGTGAAGATATATCTGTTTTGTTGTCTCTGTAAGAACTCTATTTTCTAGTGAAACTTAGTTTTAGGTAAGGGCAGTCACAGGAAAAAATACAGATGATATCTGAAGAAAAGTGATGACATTTTCATTGAGAGTAGTCAAAATCTCCTTCTGCTAGAAATGTGAACAACTTGATACTCAGAATTTCTGGAATTTGATTCAAATGGAGAGAATTTAATGATGATTCCATTAAGTTGGATTCAAAGAACAAGACTGAATTAATGTTTCATTACATAATTAAGATTTCAGAAGAGCAGTAAGAAGAGAATATTTCCAAAGGTCTGAGAATTCTAAAACTATCGTTATATTGTATGTTTCTTATAATTACTGGAACATGGCCAAAGCTTACCATAAGGTTGTTTCCAAAGTAGAGTTTCTTGATTGTATAGAGTAGTGTGAGTATGTTTGGGCTCAAACTGGGTTTCAGTTATACTTGTGGTGCACTGGCCATAATGTTCCAGAACAGACCACTACTATGTTTATTGTTAATAGCAATGTAGTATATGTGACATGGATACAGCTATGATCGATAAGCTAGTCTGTTTCTCTCTTGCTAAAAAGCATTGCTTGAAACCCTGAGTTTTCCCCAAAACCATGATGGGCAGCAGTAATATATTTTTCCAGGGCCATCAGGTATCAATCGTGGTATGTAGAAAATTGGAGCTTGGAATGTAAGAGAAGTAAACGATAGAGCATATATTAATACAGAAAAGAAAGAGAATTGATATGCTTTATGCCTGTGGAACTTAGAAAAAAGGAAAAGATGTAATATATATGAATGAAGGTGATGTGAACAAACAACAAAACAAATAAATAATATAATATATAATATATATTATTTAGGTAACAGTATTAATTTTTACCAATTTCAGGTGGCATTTATAAAGCATACTGACATATTAAAAATGTTTTATAGCGGGGAATGTGAATGATTTTGGATACTTGGAATAGAAAATATAAAGATTATAGAATTTTCTTAATTCTGGTTTCTTTTATTATGAATTAGTTTAGCTGAACTCATGAACTACATATCTTCTTGCTAAGTTGGAGTATACTGTAAATTACAGAGATTCTTCAAATAACTTTTGAAAAAATATTGTACTAATAGTGTCCAATTTGGGTAGAAAAGATCATTTTAAGTACTGTTTAGATAATAAAGATATAACGTATAACAAATATTCTGTTTGAAATAATTGACCTGTGAGATATATCATGTTTTATAAACCTATTTCTCCTTAAAACATAGTAATTATATGGTATATACCTTTATGTCTCTCAAGTACAATTTTGCACAAGATATTAGCAGAAAAACATTTTATGAATTATAGACGCTAATATTAACAGTGAAATTTATTTTTTCATTTTCCCCCCCTCATAGGCAGAACTCATAAAAGGAAGTTCGCCAAGTATTGGAATCACTCTGCGTCAAATACAGGCTAAGGAAGGAGAAGCAGGTCACGTTGTTATTGAAACTGTTACACCAAATTCTGCTGCTTCTGCCGCTGACCTTCAGAGGGGCGACAGGCTATTATCTATTGGAGGTATGCAGTGAAACTACATGGACTAAGCTTAATAAGATTTGCTAAGCTTTATGTAATTGGGGAAGTGCTCAGAAGGTATAAAAATTAAGTGACATTATGGGAAATGTATTTTAAATAGCAATAGCAATAGCAGTTAGACTTATATACCGCTTCATAGGGCTTTCAGCCCTCTCTAAGCGGTTTACAGAGTCAGCATATCGCCCACAACAACCCGGGTCCTCATTGTACCCACCTCGGAAGGATGGAAGGCTGAGTCAACCTTGAGCTGGTGAGATTTGAACAGCCGAACTGCAGTCAGCTGAAGTAGCCTGCAGTGCTGCACTCTAACCACTGTGCCACCTCGTTTCATCCATCCTTTATCAGTCATAACCAAGCAGGATCATAATTTTTTTTATTATATTGAGGGCAATAGTGCCCTAAGGAAACAATATCATAACTTGCTTTCGGTTGCATGTCATAATTACAATTTAGTGTAGTTTTTAGAATAAAAATACCAGTACTACTTATGTTTTAGACATATTTTTCTCAACATTGAAGGAGCATTATGTTTGGAGAATAGAAAACACATAAATATTTCAGAAAAACTCACATCAGTATTTGGTATCAGCTGTTGAGGAAACGGTTTTCATTCAGTAGAAGATATACAAACAATTGAGCGCCTCGGTAACTCTTTATGTAAGATAGTTCTTGGTGCACAAGAGTTCACTATATGTGATGTTTGTGTAGAGAATAGTAAATGTGAAAGTTTTAATTCTCTAAACCAGTGTTTCTCAACCTTGGGCGACTTTAAGTCCTGTGGACTTCAACTCCCAGAATCCCCCAGCCAGCTGTGCTGGGGGATTCTGGGAGTTGAAGTCCACAGGACTTAAAGTCGCCCAAGGTTGAGAAACACTGCTCTAAACCTTTATTATCTTTCAACAGTATTGTTTTGTTTTAATATTGCACATGTTTTCTTAAAGAGTGGTACGTTTTATATATTTGTTGCATTTTTAATGTGTCCTTTTCTCTTTATCACCTTGGGAGATAAAATGGAGTAAGGGAGAGTGACTGTCTCAGAGTCAGCCTGTGAGTTTTAGGATTGGAGGAAAGATCTCCCTGCTTCTTCCTTTCCTAGTACATCGCACCTGTTGTATATTTATCCCTTCATCAGATGATTCTTTGGCTTTGTATTTTCCAGTGTGAACTCCTGGCAACTGCCTGGACAAATTCCTGCAGTTTTCTTGGCAACATTTTTGGAAACAGTTTACCATTGTCTCTTTACTAAGGCTGAGAATGAGTGACTGGCAAAAGGTTATTCATTTGGCTTTGTGCCTGAAGTAACTAGAACTCATATCTCCCAGTTTCTAGCCTGGTGCCTTAACCACTACACCAATACCGGCTCTCCTTCCATCAACCGTGTAAATAGGGTTTCTTTGTTGTTATAATACAAATGGTAATTGGTTTACTTTCTATTTACATTACTACCTGTAGTAATAACATTGATGAGGGGTTAATTGATAAGGCAATCCCAATTTGTGTGTGGAAGGGAAAGAGACTGCATGGCTTCTCCTTGACTAGATAGCATTTTCAGTTTAGGTATTTATCAGTTACTTCAACAAATATTAATCATTATTGTTTTCCTCTCTTTTTTTAATAGGAGTCAGGATTACATCAACAGTACAAGTGTTAAAACTTATCAAACAGGCCGGTGAAAGAGTCACCATATATTATGAGAGACCGGTTGGCTATACTCCTCAGACTTCATTAGCACAAGATAATCTTACTCAGTTGGAAGAGTCAACATTTTCAGATGAATATTTGCTGAATGAAATAGATAATAAAGAATTAGATATAGAATTTGAAGACTTGGCAAATGCACTAAAGTCAAGTGAATTCAAAGATGATTCTTCAACTAGTCCCAAACACATACCAGTTTCACTTGCTGGTAAACCACCTGGAACGCTATCTCCAGTATTAAATCGCAAGTTACATGTAGGAAGTTATCAGGCATCTTCAAGGGTACTTTTCAAAGAGACAGCCAGACCAGTAGTACACAAAAGTCCTGAGAACTTGGATTTAAGTCAACAGACAAACAAACAGCCACAGTTAAATGTAACCAAACCACCTGTACCACCCAGACCACAGATTAAAGTGCCAGCAGTTTCTAGTGATGTTCAAAATAAATTAGAAACTGGTGACTTATCTTCTGAGAAAGTAGACAAGCTCCCTTTTCCTGCCAATAATGGAGACAAGGGTTCAGAAAAAGTAATCAAAGTTATTGATCTAGGAGAAGAATCTACAGGACTCAAACCACTTGCTAAGGAGGCTTCAGAAATTTCATCGAGTTTTAAAACAATTACAAATAAATCAGAAGCATTAAAAGAAAGTATAGAATCTCTGCAGAATATTAAAGCACCTGTCAATAAATCTGTTACAAACAAATCAGAACTACATAAAGACATATCAGATTATTCACCTTATTCACTGAATGCTAAGGCAGTAGAAAACCATAATTCGTGGGAATCACCAGAAATTCCTTACCGTAATCGAGCAGGTAAATGGGCAAGGACAAAAGCTTCTTCCTACATATTTGAAGTAGGAAAAGAACACACTTACCTAAATATTGGTGTTTGGTGTAGAGACCCTTTTAAAGTAGGTGGGCTGGTTTGTTTGGGGTATGAAAGCGTAAAACTTGAAGATGTAGCTTTAGATTGTATAGCTACATCCTCCATGGAATTCATTAGGTCATTTCGACTAAATCCTCCTGCCCCTAAAGCTACAGTAACTAGAACAGCATTGCGGAGTTTGATCTCACACAAAGGTTTCAATGAAAAGTTTTGTTATGGTGATGTCACACTACATTTTAAATATTTAAGAGAGGGTGAGCCGGAAGACTCAACTTTTCTGTTGGAAAAAGAGAAAGAAAATATTTCAGAAGAAGCAGCAGCTCCCGTTCTTTCAAAAGAAGATTCTTATTTCGGACAAATTACTTATACTGAAAATAGGCACAATTTCCAAGATACTCAGTTTCAAAATCCAACTTGGTGTGACTACTGCAAAAAGAAAGTTTGGACAAAAGCAGCCTCACAGTGTGTGGTTTGTGCGTATGTTTGCCACAAAAAATGTCAAGAAAAGTGTCTGACAGATGCTCCCTTCTGTTTAGGAGCCACAAGACGACTTGAACGAGTTTTACACCCTTTTAAATTTGAAAACCAAGATTCTCAGTCCACACCAGGACCTCGTGTAGATTCAGAATTGAAACCTGCCAATAAAGCAGCGGGTCTAACAAGACACCTCCTTAATACAAGCAGCCGATTCTTAAACCTCCGCCAAGTTCCTAAAGTTCGCGTTAATGAGCAAGGACCTGAAATGGTAGAACCTTCGCCAAAGCAGACGCCACACCCTTCTGATAATGAGGGTAGTGATACAGATACCGGTGGCCCTAGTAGCCCTTCTAAGCAAGTAACTACTTCGGGGATTAAATTAGCAAGGAAGGAAGGAGGACTTGATGACAGTGTTTTCATTGCAGTGAAAGAAATTGGCCGAGACCTTTACAGAAGTTTACCTACAGAAGAAAGAATCCAGAAATTGGAGATTATGTTAGAAAAACTTCAGCAGGAAATAGACCAGGAACTGGAGAGCAACAATTCCTTAATTAGAGAAAAGAAAGAAGCAACGGATGTAAGGAGAAAAAGGCTATTGTCTGTTGCGCTGGCTAAATCGGGGGAAAGGTTGCAGGCCCTAACACTCCTTATGATACATTATAAAGCAGGCATTGAGGATATAGAAGAAAATTCTGCTTTAGAGCTTGGATCTAGAAAAGACGATAAAGACGAAGAGGACAACACCTTAGTGGAAGAAACAGATAATGAAGAGGAGGCTGTTTTAGTCATGGCACCAGTACTTGAAACCCTACTCAAAGAAGAAGAGAGACTTGAATCCCAGAATGCGTCTGTAGACTGATATTGCACAGTCGGTCTTGCAAATGATAAAACTGGGAAACACTTTGCACTTAAATCAAACTACATCGGATTTCAAAATTGTAATTAAACACTGAGATAATATATACATGCTGCTTCTCCATTATTTTTCAAACCCATGTAAGGAAATGGCTTTTATTTCCAGGTACAATATGGTTTTAATTCTGTTGAACCATGTTATGTTTCAATAACATTTTGGGACTTTATACTAGATGATTTTTAATTTATTTGGACTTTTTTCTAAAATGTTATTTCTAAAATATATCGGGGTAAATTGCAAAAAAGGAAAAAAAAAAAGCATTCAGACTGATGTTTTGTTGGAATGAGTGAAGCAGCCACTTCCTCCATGAGACCTAACACCTCTTTTGAGGGCTTTCTGCTGTCATCTCCACAGACATGTTCACACCTAGCCTGCTTTTTTGGCAGTCTCAATGGAAATGTTGTCTTCTGAAGGGCACGGCTGCCTCTCTGTTTCAAGAAAGAGCCCTTTGCTCACATCAACACACTTCCTGAATTGCCCTTGAAATGCTTTGCACAGTTTCGGTTCTCCTTTTTTGTTCCTTTTCATTCCTCGGTTTTAAAACTTCACATTTTTATTTTGTGCTCAAATTAGAACTACTGTAACAGCTGCTGAGGGGCCAGTTTTGAAAATTTTTTGTTATACTTTCCTGTTTGCTTATTCAGTATATTTTGGAAAGGGGATGGTGATTGTCCGGTTTCTTTGTTTTTTGGTTGCTTTTTTTTCGTGCCAATGATGCATTATAGCAGTGTTTTTCAACCTTGGCAACTTGAAGATGTCTGGACTTCAACTCCCACAATTCCCCAGCCAGCATTCGCTGGCTGGGGAATTCTGGGAGTTGAAGTCCAGACATCTTCAAGTTGCCAAGGTTGAAGAACACTGCATCATAGGATAACATGCCTTTATTTTCAATTATTTGGTAACATTAGTATTCTCGTGTCTGATTTCCCTGATTTTCTTTCACCGAGAAGTCTGATTTTTTCGAAAAGACAATTTACATTTTACTCTTTCCTTCTGTGAATTTATTACAGTCT